CAGTCAGACTACATTGAGCTTAGTTCAACCATCACCAAGAGGCACTTGAACTGCTTTTTCTCCTGTGGTTATACTGCTTGCCAATTATTGAGGCTTGGAAGGCATCTACCCTACGTCTCTGCCAGGGTCAGAAGGTTTTAGGTCAGCTTGTTTAGGCATGAACTGAATAGGGAGGACATTTCATTCCATTGGATGAATGCCCCAGTTCAGCTTCCTTGTGCCGGTTTGCATTTTGGAGAGGACATAGTCATTGCAGTCTGGTGGTGGTTGTGTCTTTGGAAGTCACGCCTCAAGAAGTTTTATTCGTGAGGGAAATGTCAGCACGATGTAAGGAGTTTCTGCTGGAAGCTCAGGCTCTAAAAGTGGATCAGAAAGTTTGATGGATATTCTACAATGCGAGGTCCTGATGAGCTTGGTTTAGTTTCAAGTCTGTTCAGCTTGAGCCACAGTCCTGCCTTGAGCTGCAAGGCAGTTATATCCTTGGAGGGGGAGGATTTTGGTGCCTTTCAGTGACAACTGTGCTGGATGAGGTGCCCCCTCTGAGTTCAGTGGCTGGACCAAAGAAGAGAAAAATGTTAGACAGTTGTAAGGACATAGATACAGTAGAGTGAGAAGTCAATGACCAAGAAAATTTGCTTTGTGGTGACAATGGCTCCATGAAGGAGTGTCCCAAAAACATAGGGAAACAGGCTTTTTTTTGTGTGTGTGTTATATCACAATGGAGATGAGATTTGGAGTGCAGATTACAAGGCACAGGTTTTTGCTTTTCTCCAAGAAGAGACTGGAGAGGGATGTCTAATTGGTCTTGACCATCTCATGTTTTTACTACACTCATGGCTGGTTAGCATTTTCTAAAGCAACTGTGGTTGTCACATAGGGCAGTTTGCTTCAAACAATGCACCTTTTTTTTATATCACAAGAGGACATGAACAGACAATCCATGTCAGATTAGATCCTTCTATTCCATAGCATCACTGCTGAGATTGGCTAATAGTAGATGCCAAGGAAAAAGATTCTGAGCAGGGTAAATAGGGAGTGTTTTATTCTTCCACCAGTCTCAAAGCTTCACGACTTCCACAGATGGACATAACTGTTTTCTATTTAAATAGCTATCTGTACTTTTTTTCTGGCTGCCCCTTTAAGTTCCTGACTTAGCACAGTTTGAAAATTCTGCAGTGATGAACTGTCTTATTAATATTACCTCATATTTTAAAAATATCAAGATTTCAAGGCATCTGGTAGAATTTCACAAGGAAAAAACTGACAACACAAATCCCTCCCTTTCACTTATATCTATCATGTCCATCACTGATTAATTTTCTCATCACCAGCCAGGAAACAATACAATACCAAAAACTTAGAGAATACTAAAGGCATAATTGTATATTTCTGCTTCCTTATGATTTGGCTGCATTCCCACCCTTTTCCCTAATTTACACTATCAAGGTCGCGCTTTGCTTTCTTCTGACATGCTGGGTGGAAAGCCTTTCAGAATGCCTTATATTTTCCTTCCACCTTCTCTTTTGTCAGTCACGAGACTAAGTCCCTTGAGAACAACCCTTCAGGAAATACTTAGTACATTTATTTTAGGGGGAAGAGTTAAAGAACAGCTTATCACTTGTATCACTCTTGGAATAATTCCAAAGTCTTAGAATCAGGCCCAGGCCCTGAGCACATCACTACTTTAGAAAAAGTTTTGTTTCAGGTGATGGGTTATTGTAGGGGCCCTTTCATCTTGACATGAAAACTCAACACAATCTGACCTACTTGGATTTATTTTCTCAATATAAAAACACAGAAAGAGAGAAATAAGTATTTTCCTTCAGCATCACAAGCAATGACCCAATGGAAGGTCACTACTCACCAATGATGAGGAAAAATGTACCCCAATACAGACCCAGCCCAAAGAGACTGAAATTATACAGTGCATGTGTAATTGCAAAGGGCTACAGAACACATTATCTCTTGTGAAGATTTCCCAGGACACTGTCTTCATTTGTCAGTTCCCAAGCTTACCTGGAAACCAAGTAAAAAATCCAAGGAAGGATCACTTACTAGTAAAGGCTTTCTCAACATTTCCCCTCCCTCCTTCCCATGGCCAGCTCATTTTCATTTAACATCTTCTGACTTAGCCAATTTGTCTCTATTGTCTGTCTGTTGTTAGGCTAATTCACCTATGGAAAATGGAAGGTATCAGATGCTATTCAACAGAAACTTGAAACTGAGCATAAGTGAAAGGTGAGTATTGTATCTCTTTGCAATTTACAGACACAAATCCCTCTCCTTTCCTTTCTCTCTTGCTCACTGTTGTCTTGTTGAGGGCTTGCAATGTTAACTGTTGATGCTCAAGACCTGCTCAGCTCTTGAAATACATAATTTACCAAGGTCTTTCTGGGGCAAGAGAAGGGAGAAAGTCAGAGACAACAGGAACTAAGAGAAACAAACTCATTATGAGTTGTTCTAATATGAAGACAGTGACTATCTCATTCTTCTCGCTGGCTTTTGCCAGAACCACCATACACTCAGCCTTAAACACAAATATGTCAACTTGTCCACTGCTAGTTTTTGGCTGCTCCTACCTTATGTGCTTAACATTGCTTGGCAATTACTAATCCAGGCAAAGCCTGAACCACACATGACAGCCTTTCCTGACCTCTTCTGTAGTCCTAGTCAAATGGTCTGATTGGTCCCAAACAATGTGTGGTTCCCACTCTTAATTTTTTAGGGTTCCTAAAAAAAATTATCTTAAATAAAAAATTATCTTAATCAAAACATAGTCCTTGGTATTTCTCAAACATTGACTGGATAAATCTGGGCTGAAAATTGTTCATTTTAATTATTATTAATATTGTTGTGTTTTTGTTTTCTTTTCCCATGGAAAATATTGAGATTTCACCAAACAATGAACATCTTTGGCCAAGAGCCCTCCATTTCAGTTCAGAAATGCTCCCCCGTGGGAGTTGTAGCTGGTATGCTTTGTGTCCCTGTTGTTCCCTGTGAGCTGACATTCCTGGCTGGCCCACATCTCTCGTGGTGCAGCATGGTCCCCTCTCTTGCTGAGACAGTGCTATGCATCATGGAAGTCGTGTCACCATGGTGCTTTGTGAGAAATGCACTTCACACAGCAAGCCCAGCACTGGAGCAGAATGGGGTTACAAAGCTCAGCAGTGGCAGCCTCTAGGAGACACTGTCCAAAGATTTCTCAGCTGAATCTCCAGGCCTCCTGCCACACTCTGAAGCCTTGTTGAGAGATTGGTCATAATTTAACATAAAACAACTTTGCTTTACTTTGAAAGGCAATTTTCCATTGAAAAATATTCTGATGGAAAATTTCAAGCAGCCCCAGAGGATGTTCTTTCCAAAACCTTTTGCATTGTAATTTACCAACTTAATCTCACTTTTGTTGGATTTCTTTTCTGTTGCCTCTCCTTAATCTCTGATAACAGAGGGAGAGCTCCTTTCCACACAAGTGGGAGATCAGGGGAAGCTGAAGACATACATTAGTAATAACATATGGAAGAGTTTGTACCTTTCTGAACGGACAGATTTACAAGGTGAGCTCTCATAAGTCCCTAAGAGAGGAAGATATTTCCCTGTCTTTTCTAGGTATTAAAAATGAAACAAAAATCCTTTTAGATCTAAATGCAGGAAAAAAAAGAACCTCTCTTTTTTTAATCTTTCTTTCCAAAGATTTTTGAACTTCAGTATCCCATTCAACTTGTTTGTCTGTTTCTCTCTTTTTAACTCATTTTGGGCTGGTGGAAGGTGCCAAACTGTCTGAGCTACAGATCTCCCTAGATATATTTTTTGGGGATTTTTTTGTTGGGTTTTTCTGGGTGGTGTTTTTTTGTTGTTGTTTGTTTTGTTTTGTTTTGGGGTTTTTTTGGTTTGGTTTGGTTTGGTTTGGTTTGGTTTGGTTTGATTTTTTTTAAGGCAGAAACAAAAGAAAAGTCCCATGCTGTAGCTAAAGACTCCCAACTGACTGGACTTCTCACATGCTTTCAAAAAGTCTACTTTTGCATCTACCTTACTATCTCAGTGAGGCAGTTTGCCTGTTCACCTCACCTAGACTAATAAGACATTCCTCCTTCGTAGACTGCAAAGCAGGAGCTTCCACTCACTCTCCTACGTTTCTAAGCAAAGTGGGGCTGAAAGGAGTGACCCCAGAGGTTAAAAACAGGACTTTTTGCAGGGCACTGAGCTACGTGGCATCCCAAAGTTTTTTTTCTTTTTGTTCTTTTTTCTCTTGTTCTTCCCCAAATCCCCAACTTGTGAATATTATTTTGTCTGAAGTGACACTGCAACAACTGCTAATTGCCCAGTAGCGGGGTTTTTTGGTGGTTTTTTTGGTGGTTTTTTGTTGTTTTTTTTTTTTCCCTTTGTGGATATGCTCTAGATCAGCTGCATTTCAGCCTGGAAAGGGGGGTAGGGGGCATGTTTATATACTTGCGGGTGGGAAAATGCAGTAGACAGCATATTCTGTTCCAGCATAGCTGTACAGTTCATCTCCAGATCCCAGGTTCCCCCATTAAAATCTACCCCCTGCCCCAGGGAACAGCCTGGCAAGCTCTTCTGACCCGACAGCACTGGCAGCTGTTTGGCAGCTTCTGAAGTGGATCCAATCTGGTATGAGTTTGCTACACTTTCATTTTGTCTACATCTTCCAAACAAATAACCGAGTCCAGAATCCCAAGCTGTGTTTTGCAATGGAAATGCTTCAACGTCTGGGAATTGCTTCTGCTGCAGGGAAGATATAGAGTGCTGTTAACTGTTTAAAGGTTTAAAGGTTCAGTGAAGAAGTGAAGGCAGTCACACATTTATGGGCCAAACACTTGCTTTTGGGGCTTTCTAATGAACGCCATGCGGTAAGGGGACCTGGGGAACCCAAGGGAGCCTGCAGTTAACTGTCTCCCTGAGTCAGTGCTCTCAAAATTCTTGGGCCAGCATTTTTCTGTTAATCTACCATCTTTTCCATAAATCTTCTTTTACTATCAGACCACTTAATTGGAAACACTATGCCTTTACTGTTCAGTACAGTGCCATTGAATAACTGTGAGTCCCATTCTCCAGCCTTGTGGATGATCAAAACAAGTTGAGAATTATCTTGGCTTTCAGACAGGCATAACTTCTCGCAATTAACACCACTGGACTTGATGTGAGGAGCAGCAGAAAGGAGAACTCAGCATTGTTCAAGACCACATTGCCTAGTGATGTACACAGATGTCTTTCTGTTCTTGAAATTCCTGTTTAATCCAGGGAAAGAGAGTGAATTAAAAAACAGCTGATATAAACCTTCACTTGAAGCTGGAAAACAGTGGGAGAAATTTAGTTGTCGGAAGGCCAGGTTTTCATTTTTGTTTGTGCAGTGCTTGAGAGAAGAAAAGTTAGAAGAGAGGAAATTCTTATCCTTCATTCAGAGATCTCTAGAGCTTTTGATTCCCTTTGCAATAACCTGAGAGCATCCATATGATTTGACTTCATGGATTAGTTGGATTATAGTGCAATGTATATGTGAATGGACAGTCTCAAAACTTTTCCACGCAAATATAGTTGCCTTATTTTACAGCTGGAGCACGGGAAGGAGAAGAGACTGGGCATCTTGCCCCAATCCATGTAAGAAATCAGCAATAACACCAGGCATGGAATCCCTACACTTGATTTATTCCCACTACTGCTTCTGCAGATCCATCCCTTCTCAACAGAACACTTCTTTCTAAAACTCAATTGAAAGAAAGAAGGTTAAATTATTTTTTGCAACTTCTCTGTAGAATTTCTTCCATCTCCCCGTGAGAAATCCTAACTGGATTGTTAAAAAGCAAGTCCATCAAGATTTCTGATTTATTGAATTGCATATATCTTGATAACAGAGCCAATCACAATTCATTTCATCCCACATTCCTTCCTTATATTACTTCAGAGTAGCAACAGAGCTGGTTATATTACAACAGAGCAGCAGAGGGGATCATCCAAAGACATATAAATCCCTGAGGAAGGCATGGCAGCTCAGGCTATTTCTATCTTTGAATAAAAATTTGCCCAAATACAGAAGGCTGACAGCTCAGCTCAATCCAGCATCTTTACTTTTCCTTTCAGACTAAGTTTTATTCAACTTTCCAGCTGCTCTGACTCAGGTCAATGCTTTGCCAAAGGTCAAAAGCTGAGTCAGGATCTTGGAAAACCCACAATACTGCTGGCTCCCAGCTCAGCTTAGACCATACAAGCCCTCTAGGTCAAACCCCTCCTCAACCTCTCCTGTCCCAGAAAAAAAACTGCTTTCTTCTTGGGAGAGGCAATAACTCTTCCAAGCCCCTAACTGAACAGGACAGACACAGCTGCACTGGAACACACCTGTACATTTTCTAGCCAAGTACCTTGCAAGTATCTTGAGAGTGACTGATGTCAGGTAAATTCAAAAGAAAAAATTATCTTAACCGGCTCATTTGCAAGGCACCTAATCCCTAAGGCATTAGCAGTTTGATTCCCCTTTCATTCACAGCTCACTCCAGAGCACTGCCCTACCCCAAGTTACAGGCAACCCCCAGAAATTCCTTCTGATTTAGAATTGCAGCTCTTCTTTGACAACAGCCCTGGCAGGCAGAGATCTGAGTCACATTTACCTCCTTTTTTGGGCACCCCTCTCCCTCCATCCTTGCTGCAGTTCTGCCCTGGTTGCAGTGCAGAGCATCCTGCAGCTCCATCACAGTTCTGGCCCAAATTCATCCCAGCTGTTAGTAGGATGGCACTGGCTCTCAGCCCAAGGACTCACAGAATTTGGATGCAACACATCTGACATGGTACTGACAACCCCATTTCAATTAATCATGTTAAGTGTTCTCTGCAGCCCATTGTAGAGGTTGTACATTACACTGCAGATGTAATCAGTGGAGTCAGCAGAGATCTGGGTATGAATCACCACATCCAAAAGTAACTGTCTACATTCGTGCAGATGAGTTGTATCAGAAAGTGTGCATTTCTCCTCCCTAAATAGGGCATTCTCCACATCACGAACAGCCAGCATAAAGTAAAGCAAGTCCTTTATTGCATCCACCAAACTAAGGAATTGACAAATTCTTTTTCCCCATGCAAAATCGTCTTTTTCCTCTACTTTCATTGCATTCATGTCTTCAGGCACCAGAGCAGGATTTTCTCTATCTCATGCTGTCTGGGAGACCTCAGTCAAGACTTACCCATTTCTAACTCTCACCTCACAGTTATTGCCCTATTTGTTCACAGAACAATGACCATGTTATATTGAGTTTCTTCACCTAGAAGACAATTCCAGAACCTGTGTAAGTCATCTCAGACACAGAGGGGGGACCATCCCTCTCAGCAGCAGACCTCTCATCACACTGCACTTTCCTAGACACAAATCCTACCTATGTAACCCAGAGCTCACTCACAGTTTCTCTGAAACCCCTGGTAGGAGAAAAATAAGAATTTAAAGATTCCCCAGCCAAGATAAAGGGGTATGTTTTGCTCATGCTTCAGCAAGAGACCCCAGGACATCAGGAGTCCCTGCTACCATTTGAGTTTGAAACATTTTGATAGTAAACCATGACATAAAATAGAGGGAAAAGGGGGGGAAAGCGAGGAACTCACTTCATATAATTTGTTGGTTTTCTCTTGTGTCAAGTAATTTGAGAATTATTTGGCTTGGACTTGACTGGGGAGATTTTGCATTTTTTACACAAATTCATGTAGCCATCAGTCTTTAATGGACACACTTGTACCCCTCACTGACTGTCTGGGAGCTTTGTGTAGTCTCTGGGATGATCATAACAGAGGGTGCTTCGCTTCACACGCAGAATTTCATAAAGACCAGAACACTAGTTAGCTGTTTTAGTATGTTCAAAATTATATCTTTCCTACTTTTACATTTGCTTTCCCTACAGAGCCCTCAGAATGTATGACAAAGTTATCAGGATCTTACTGTCAGGGGAGAATCTTGGTGGGGAAACTGAGGCATGGGCTTAGCAGGGCATGCTTTACTTCACAGGTTGGTGTCAGAGCTGGGAAGACTCCAGCTCTCCACACCCTTGTGGGTAGCGATAGTCAATATTTCCTGAGAGTTTTCTCCATGGCATGCCTCCAAATGGAATCCTCACAGCAAAGTTGGACTCATACCCCAAAATAAGTGCCGATACCCTCAACGGAGTCTGTAATTATTCTCTTTGCTGCCTGGCTGCCCTCTCTCCTGCCTTCCCTCCGGGCCTGGACACCTGTGTTGAACTGTGATTGCCTCCTCGTTTATTGCAAACAAGTCTGGATTATCCCACTGTATATTTTTACGGCATTTTGAAAAAGTCTGTTTTCTTTTTTCTCTCATTTTTGCCTTGCCGTGTGTTTTTAATTGGATCCATTGCCCTTCCTCCCCTGCTTGTTAATGCTTTTCTTTGGGGAAGCACTAGTTTTTAACAGCCCTGCAAATACTCACTCCTCTTGGCCTAGCCAAGTCCATTTCTTGGGGATAACCTGTCTCTGACCTACTTTTAAGTTATACAACAAATGTTCTGCTTTCAGCTCAGCCTACTACTGTTCAAATCCATACCATTCAGCCACCATTTGTACACTCGCAGGAGAGCAGAGGAAAGTCACAGCTGGCAGCTGGTCTCTTCAGGAAGGCAGGGTGCTTCCCTGGAGGGAGGTCACCCACTCATCCACCCCAACAGTACCTGCACTCAGAGCTGGCTCTCGCTGGGGCTCAGCTCTCCTTTCGTGCCTCCAAGCAAAGCCTTTTCTGCAGCGCCTCCAGCCCAGAGCCAGGCACTGGTGTCAAGGGTTTCATCCTTTTCAGTTTCTCTGTTTGCTTCGAGGAACATTCCTGTGGTTCCTGCCAGGCTCCTTTCCAGGGGCAGGGGAAAGGATTCAGGTGGCTTTGTTCCCTTACATTCCTGCTGACACCAGGGTGTCACAGCAGGGAGCACTGGCAGGAGGCCATGGCCTCTGCACCCTGGCTATAGTTACATGGCACTGGCCATAGAGCAGCCAAGGAAGGACAAATTCACATGGCTTTCACTGGGAGACCCAGCAAACGCATTTTCTACTGATGACTGCATGCTAATTAGCAACAATGCTCAGCCCAAAGGTAGAGGATGCTTTGACTCATTGACAATGGTAGAGATTAACTAAATTTCCCATCTACCTTCTGGCTGGAGCTTTAGGATCTTTCCTTCACCTCAGACTCCAGTGGTGTAGGATATATTTAGTGGCTCTGTCCATGCTGCTCCAAGACAGGAGTGCTGCAGAAACGCATGCAACACCTTCCACCTCACATCCCGCCTCAGGAAAAAGGACAGACATGCTCAGCAAGTCCTCTTACAATGGGATCAGGAAGGCAAATTTCTGCCCCATATCCCCCTAGTACCACAATGGTCTTCGTTTGTGGACCTGTGATGTCATTGCCTTTTGCAGCTGGGCAACAGAGTTCCAAGCTGGACATCTTGGAAGTTTCAAGGATAGGTTTGATGGCCTCATTCAAACTTCTGAACTAACCCACTGCCACAACTACAGTGATTTAAGGCACAGTGGGAGATAGCAAACAAAGAAAGGTAAAAAAAAACACCACAGGTTATACATGTGATCAGTAGCCTCAGGAGCTTTCTATCCATTGCAACCAGATCTGCGAGGAGGATTTCCAGGCCTCCATAACATTGCCTTGCCTGTCAGATCAAGAAAAAGTGGTTGCTATGACAGCACAAACCATATTTCTCAGGCTGAGATGTGCCAGAATTTCAAACAGATGTGGCAGTGCAAACAAGAAGCCCCCTTGGGAGCCTGCCAGGAGGCTCAGACAATGCAACAGCATCCGCACATGGTTAGAAGCCACGCCGAGCCAGCCCAGCAATAATGGCCTGTGCATGTACTTTCTGGCCTGCCTTGCAGCTGAGCCCAGAGCAACTCAGCAAACAGTGGGACTGGAAAGCTTTGAAAGAAAACTGCTGAGCAGGGAACTCTGCTGAAATAGCACCTGCCTTTTTTTTTTTTTCTTTCTTTTTTTTTTTTTTTTTTTTTTTAATCTGCCTTCTTTTCTCTCTCTCTCTCTTTCTCTGTGATTTTTTTTTTCTTTCTCTCTCTTTTTTTTTTTTTTTTTTCTTTTAGGGCCACGTTTATAGCTATTTTTGCTGCTTGGAAAGGCTAACCCCAGGCCTGTTTGGCATTTGCTCTTGGCCTGAGCCTTCACATGAGGATCCTCTGTAAATAGGCTAATGCTGGTTTCATTTCCACTCTGAAAGCAAGAAGGGATCCTTCTGTTTCACTAATGCTTTCTTCTCTGGCTGTAACAGAGAGGGCTGGAGTGGGGCAGGAGGGGGGATTTGGCTGGAAACGCCACTGGGCAGATTGGAGAGGTTCTGCGGGAACAGGTTGACTTTGTCAAACGGTTTGCCTGAAAGCAAGGTTTCCCAGGGAAATGTGCCAGCTCATCTTTCACGTCAAAAGGTCAGAAACCCACTTCCAGCAAATTTGGACATTTTGAGGTTTCACTTAGAAGTGGAATGAATTATTTTCATTAGAAGTGGGTTTTTCAAAGAGAGGGAATATCTCTCCTTAGACTAATTTGGAGACTAAGAAAAACAAATCCACTTTGGGGCTCAGCAGCTTTTCTTGGGGGCTGAAATGAGAGTGCACCATTTTCAGTGCACACAGGTGGGAAACACTTGTTCTCCACTTACTGTCTCCATGTCAGCTGTTTAGGCAATTTGAGGAAAGAGCAATCAGCCTCTGGGGGGAAAGGGGAAGAGAGAATAGTGTGAGACAAAGAGAGGTACTGGTAGGTGAAGATGTATGTCTCTGTCAAATCCACAGTTTTTCTTTCTAGTTTTAGTATACAGGTATGGGGTTTTTTTTGGTTTTTTGGGGGTTTTTTGGGGTTTTTTGTATTTTTAATTATTCTTTTTATCTGCTACAGTTCTAGAACATTACTGGGTGTCAAAATCCTGGTCTGCAGCTTCTAATCTACACTGGGATTAGAAAACAACAAGTCTGCTGCTCTGGGAGAAGGCAGGAAAATGCTGGCATAAGAACAGACAGTAGACAATATTTTTTCTTCTTTTTCTAAAAGCTAGGGAAGCTGGTACGGACCCCACAAGATGTGTTAAAGCAACTAGAACTACCCTCAGTTTTATCCCAATTGCAGTTTGCTATTGGTCATTGTGTTAAACTGAATTAGGTGGTACATGGAAATATCTTAACCCTAAATCTTCTCCATTCCCAGCCGTTGTATTACCTTCTGTGGCAGTGTGGTATCAGGGCAAAGATGAATTTAGCTCTGTTGTAAAATCACTTCAACAGTTTATGTGATAAACTGAAAAAGAACTGTTTACTTAGATGGTTTAGTTCTGCTGCTGATGGTGCAAGAGGAAAAGGGCATTTGTATTTGAACAGAGTGGGAGCTGAATACCCCGCAAGAGCAGGAAAAGAAAAACCCTCTTTTCTGTCATGTGTTTGGGTCCCCAGGCAATTCTGGACACTGAGCTCACTCCTGAATTCCAAGGAGTAGATGGGCTAATGTAGTCAGCAGATCTCTGATTATTTTATTGAGAGAACTCATGAGAACAATCCATGGATTACAGACCTGTTCTTGGCACTTTTGCAGGTGTGTGGGCAGCTGAGGACAGGACAAAGGAGAAATAAATAGTGCATGGTTGTGGAAGACCAGATCTCAAATAGGAGGGTCAGTCTGGGGAAGCTTAAAGGAGCTTTTTGAAATTTTTTACATTATATACAATTCCCAAGAGAAGATCTTTTGACACTGAATGCTGAGGATGCCAGAAGCAGGGAAGAGGATGATTCACTGAGGTTGGTGCTTATTAAACACCAAGGTCTACAGGGCAGCCTCCTCAGCTAGTACTTTACAGAACTCATTAATAGGATCTGGGAGGTCCCAACTACAGGATGGATAGCACCGTAACTTTCTTATATTATTTCCCCAGGCAATTTGCCAGTGACCATGGAAGAAGAGCCTGCTCAGCTGGGTGGACATTTGACAAAATGCTTGGGAATTCACTGGCTTGCCACTGACACAGACAAATGGGGAAGCAAAATGACTGTCAGGGGGTTATACTCAGCCAAGGGGACATTTTCTGCAGCGTTCTTTCAGAAACAAATTCATCAAAATGAGAACTAAAACACTGGGGAAATTCAAGCTGGACTCCTCCACTGCTGTCTGACCCTGATGAGCTCACAGTAGAGAGATTTCACTACCGAGAACAGGAGACAGTGAGTGACAGGTCTCACAAAGAGCAGTTTGAAATTCTCTCCTAGGGAGTAAATATCATGTTTACCAGAGCTGTCAGCACCCACTGCCCAGCTTTGCACACCTGCAGATGACTTCCTCCTGAATTTGATTCCCATCCCTCTCTCTTTCTTTAGATGAGCAAGGTTGGAAGGGTGTAATTTATTGTATCTATTTATGTATTTATCTATTTATTTGGCATACTGCACGTAAATCAATTCCTCCTTTGCCGTCCTGGCAGGGTTTCAGGGAGGGAGCAGGAGGATGCGTGGGAGCGGAGGCTCCTGAATGGTTGCACACAACTCCCTGACTCTTTCCTGGCACAGAAAAACGGTTTCCCAGCACTGGGTTTCCATATTGCTCTGCTGGAAGAAACAGAGCCGGGCATGCTCTCTCTGGGCCTGATCTTATCTCAAATCGCTCCCATCGCTGCATGCGTAGATATGGGACGGCTGCGGAGAGCCCGACTTTGGCAGCCTTCAGCAAGATGTATGGGAGCTCTGATTTTCACATACCCTGCAGCACCTTTTGTCTCCTTCACATCTTTTTTCCTCCCTTTGATCCAAGAGAGACAGAGCTTCTTCCTTTATTCCCTTGCTAGGTTTCAGGCCCTGAAGGATTTATGATCACTGAGTCATGATCATACAGAATTTGATTCAGAGACCTCTTATTCTGTCTGCCCTCTTCAAGAAGTAAGTTTCCAACCTGAACCTGACCCAGGAGAGGAAAAATGATACAATCAGTATCAGGGCAGAATCTGAAATTGCCTGGCAGGGAAAAAGATAATTTGTGTGAGAATAACATATTGGGATCTAAGCCAAACAGGCAATTACCCACGGTGGTACTCATGGTGGACCAGAGCCAGAGTGTGGACTCAGAGCTGGATCAGAACTCACCTCTTCCTTCACTAAAGTGAAACCACTGATTATTCTGTATCCAGGCCCCTGCTAGCAGCAGGCCTGTGTCACTTTTGCAGTAGTGCTCAACCTGGGAAACCTTTATCTAGAGCCATATGCTTTTTTTTTTTTGAGATCAAGCAATTAGAATGTGTCAATTAAGAATGGATTTACCCTGCTCTCTTTTGTATCTGCATGTCAAGAGGCAGGTGCCAGCAGTGCTATTCAGGAAAGCCACTATTCTGGAAGACACAGAAGAGTGGAAAAATCTGCCTGGGATACATGTACTTCGTCTGTGTGCTCCTTTTGTGATTCCCTTAATCCAGACTTTTTCTATTCCTTCATCAGCTCTCCTGCTGCCTCTGCCTGCCATCCTCATGCTCAAGCTTCATCACTGAGCCATTGGCTCGGTGGCCAGAAAGAGTCCACAGGGCACACATCAGCAGGGTTTTCTGATCAGCCGGAGGGAGCATGGCAGGATTTTCCCCACATCCTTTAATACAGGGCTTTAAAGCAGCAGAGCAGAGCTGTAGCATCCAGCAAGGCAGTGCTGGCTCAGCCAGGCAATCTCTGGTCAATTCTGAATACGGGTCTTGTGGCTTAGCTGAGGCAATGACAGGTTTCAGCCATGATCCTGCCCCTTCCTAGCAAACTTACCTTCTGAATAGCAAATTGGCAGATCTGCCAGGTTGGCTGGACCCCAGGCCTTCCTGGATCCCTTCCCTGACTTCTCATCATGCGTGTTCTAAATTACTGTTTAAATCAAAGATGTCAGTGATTCAGGCCAAAGGGCTTTGCTGAGAGGTAATCTCATACTTTTTTTCTGGCATCCTTCCTTGTGCTGATCCCAGCACTGATGGCTTGGGGATCATGAAGGGGCTGGAGGGGCTGCCTTTCCATGCTGCACAGAGCACACAGCCCACTTCTTTGGAGGACCAAAACATTTTTCTAATATTTCTTGCTATAGGAAGGACATGAGACAAACATTACATGCCAGATATTTCCTGCATTTTGACACATTGCAAGTTGTAGCTTTTAGGCTTGTTTGCTTTTTTGTTTGTTTGTTTGTTCTTTTCCAAGAGAGTTCCAGGGACTTGGGTTCAGGGTGAGTGTATGCAAATGTGTGGATGCCGCATGGACTATGAGAGCAAATTTAATTTTGCAGTATTTGGCTTCAGTGACCCAGCTGCTCTGTTGTTCCTCTCCCTGGGAATGAGGTCACCTCCTGGTGCCATGGCTGCACCCATGCCCCACCAGCAGTCTCAGTGTGAGCTGAATGACACTTTCAAACTCACTGCAGACTAGAAGGAGCCTTTCAGAGCACTGCCCAGCTCTTCTAAACTTGGATTGTAGGACCTCAAAATGAGGGAGAAGGAATCTAATATTTGCTGCCAAACTGCAGGAGAGGGAAACTCCCTTCTAAGCATAGTGGATATTAATGTTTATTCCCTCCCCTATGACAGCATAGCCCTCTTTGGGACACTACCTATACCATTGGTTATATCTGAATGCAGAGGAATGGCCTCTCCTGTTATAGCCTCTCCTGTTTTGGAAGGTATTTCAGTAATTATCTGCAGCACTGAATTCCCTAGGTTGGACAGAAAGGGAAACATTTCCTTCTCTATCACCTTTAATTGCATTGCACCTCCCCTTCATTTCTCATCCACAGCAATTCTAACAGGATGCCTCTGGTGGGATGCTTGGCATAGTGGATTGGTATTGCATTCTGCTCCAGGTTCAAGCAGGGGCTAGCTGAGTATGATTTGGGGGAGGGGAGTGTGGAGTGCTAATCAAGCTGTGCATTTGCCTTTAGTTTATGGATTAATTTAAAGTGTATAAATCAATACTTGCTCAGGCACAGCTCTGCCTCTTGAGTTCTTCCTCTTGTCTCTGCCTTATTGCATATCTCTCTATCTCAGCCTCTTCAGTTCTCCTGGAATTTTGTTAGACTTAAGAGTCTTTTTTACAAAAGCCCAATAAAATATGATCATGACTTTATAAAGTGCATGAACATGAAAAAGTCAAAGCTGTAAATGCCATGTCCATCTGAAAAAACTCAGCACACAGACCAATACTCTCAGGCATGAGTAAAGCTCCTGGAGTTAGTCTGAGGGGCACAAACAACTTTTATTTCCACTCCTGGCAAAATCTTCAATCTCAGCATCTCAGTAGCAATCTCTGTAACCCTTCTGCAGGGAATGTTTCTCCCAACCCCCAGCTTGGCTGTAACACAGCACTCTTACTCTCCAGATTTCTATCCTCACCAGTCCCTGCCAGGGATTTGTGTCCAGATCAATCTTTTCTTGCACTTTTTTTTTCCTGTCCTAAGGCCTGAACAGCTGCATCTCATTCTGAGAAGCAGAAAAGTCTCCAGTGGGTGGGAAAGATGTCTCTTCATTGTGATCTAACCTACTGTTGTCTTTTGACACCTGATTGCTTCTCTTCCACTTTCTAAATGCTGAATCCCAGTGGATCTAGCCCTGTACTGCCAGTTATGTCCTGTTCTTGCACTGTTTCACAGACTGTACAATACTGACTTAAAATTTATAATCCAGCATTAAAAAAAAATTAAAGAAAAAAAAGTAAATATATATATGTCAGTATAGGTCTCAGTTGGTTCCTTAATATGTTTTCTATTAAAAAAAAATATAAATGTTGTCTCATATCTGTTTTCAGTGGACAGCCTATCAGCCTATGCTTTCTGTGGCCTCCTAGGAACTTCCATGGTAATATTCTGGTTAATATCAACACCTCACTGGTTCTATAAGATTTCTGTGGATAGATACTGTCCAAGGTTTCTTGCAAGTCTGATTTTTAATGACATCCACTCAGACATGCATCTGGGACATCAGAAATATTAAAAAACAATCTAGGATTCTCTTTTTCAGCTAGAAGTGCAATGGGAGGGGATGTTTATGTCACAGGGATATCTGTCTTTCCTGAACTTCTAAATTAGTCACTCCCATCAAAAATTAAATCACAACCAACCCCACTCTCCAACGAAGATTTAGTAACAAAGAACTCTTAGACAGATGTAGTAATAGGACAAATCCTATTACTAAGGATTTATCTGTGTACCAAAACAGGCATTACCCATTATTCTCTGGAATCTATTAAAATTAAACATTATATCCAACTTGACATAACTTTTGCAGATTTCAAGTTTGGAGCCAGAGAGTTAAGAAAAACTAGAGCACAAAGCCCAAACACCTTCCAATTTGAGAGAAGGCTAGAAAGAGGTAGGAACCCACAGTCGCACATGATTTTTAATCAATTTTTCCTAGGTAAGATCATTTTCTCCTTTGTGAAGTAAACTGTGAGTTACTTGGGAGACCAATTCAAGTTTATCCACTATTTTTCTTATTTAATTGACAATGTTTCTGAGATTAGATTGTTGGGACTTTCTTCTTTCAAGAGCTAGGGTATCCACGGACAGACCTAGCTCTTACATGTAGAAGGGAAGAGCCTGGTTTCAGTTTTATGCTCAGAAGAAAGGCAGAGTACCAAACAAATTCAAACATGAGAAAATATTGCTTTTTACATCTGACACTTGACTGAAGCACAGCAGGGGGATTTTGTTCCTTTACCAGGTTTTTTGTCCTATCAGTGTTTCTCAGTTTCTTGGAATGGGCAATTCCAATATTTGAGAGCAGTACACACTCCCCATGTAGTTCTTTTCATCTCTACTGGGTTGGCCAATGGGCAAAGGGATATGCTCCATTTCTGTTCCCCTGGGATACCCACTCTCCAAGAGAAGAGACCTGGCCAAGAGAAAACTGTGGATACTCTGAGATTTATTTCTGGGGTTCACAGCAATTCAGTCAGCTGCACTGTGAACTCTGTCTGGGAGGAGATCCCTGGAGAAATGTCTTTATAGATGGAGAGTATCAATGTCTACAGTTTCTGCCTGACACCCTTTTTCCTGGATGACCAAGCACCTCTAGCTCCTTATGCCATCAGTCTTTGGACCTTTTCATATCTCTTTCCTTAACAAAAGAAGTGAACTAATGATACAGAAACCAGAGGTGATAATTCATGAAAGAGCAGAAATTAACTCTGTGTGAGGCAGGGGCAACTTCATGTAATGCTGGTCTAAGGGATGATCAGCTCCACAGTCCAGAGGTGACCTCAGAGCTTCTACAACAACTTTCCTCCAAAATAACAGACTTGAAAACTACACTATATTAGCAGGGGTTAGTCCTTATTTTAAGGTGCTTCCTCTCTCTTCAAAAACACAAACAACCCACACCTTCATACCTTGAAGAGTTGAGTTTGTGGAGGAGAAGTTCAGGTTTTATTTTGTCCCACCTCTATTTGAAGGGTTCAGCCATGGGTTAACCTCCATGCCCTGTAACATTTCAGAGCAATCAGGGAAGACAGACAGATGGAAACACCGGGGGATGGAGGGAAGCTGATTTATATGCAGCTGAAACACAGCCGTGGGGCTGCTGCCAAGCCATATAGATGTGGTGGCAACACAAACAGAGACACGCAGAACAGCCTGTGCAAATATAAACACTGCCACACGTGATGAGGGTTCACCAAGTTCATGCAAACACCAGGGAAGGAAAAGAAAAAAGATACTTAACTGGGGAGGCAAGTGTAAAGATTATGTCAGGCACAGGAGCTCTGTTAAACAAGAAAACAAAAAGAAACTGCCTCTTTTCTTGTTCTAAAGAAAATCACACTTAGATAGTAGGAATTTGCAACAGATTTAAAGGACATGGGCTATTTTCTTGTGTCATCAGGAGATATTCTTAACACTCCTGTCAATAACAGTTGTTATCAGTGATCAGTTTTCCTCTCCTGTCTAGATCTGGTGGCCTGATAGTTCTTTAAATCATAGGTCTCAGATTGATCATTATGTTTGTTACTCTCTCACTTCAGGATTGTTTCCAAATGTCAGAGGCTCATTACCAAAAGCTGGCCTGGCACTTTCAGTGTCACTCCAGTGAACTGGCATTTCTTTTCCAGATTTCCCACGTGAATCTACACCAAGCTCAGCAGAGAGTAGAAATAGTCATCCTGCTACAAGGGGCCTGCATGGAAGAAATTTGTGGAGCTGAGTATAGTGCCTAGAGGTTATGAATTGCAGGGTAGAAACCACTGAAGTAATTATTGCTGACTGCTATCCTGGGAGAGAAGGGACATGGAAACTAAATACTCAGCCATAGCTGAGGACGTCTCCTCCACCACCGCGAAGTCCTCCTGGCCACACATGTAATAACAAACCATATTCTTGCTTTGGGGTATCGTGTTGCAGAGATGCCAGTGCAGCATTTTTTAGCAGCACCAAACTGCAGAAAATATTGTATTCCAGATAATTTGTTTTCCAAGATACTATGCCTTTCTTTCACAGAAAAAGCAAATCCAGCACTTCTGCACATACCCCCTCTTTTTATATCCCAATGTCCCTCTAACGCCTGCCTCTTTGCTGCCATCCTTTGGCAGCCTCCAGGTAGAAAAAGGGCAGAGAATCACAGACTGCCATCTGTGAAACCTTCAAATATCCCATCAAAAGCTAAGCACTCAACAAACAAAGCTGTGGTGTCTTACCAAGGGCCCAAAGGGACACCGCAATTTCCTCTGGGCTGAGAGATTAGATGGTTAGAGTGCAGGACTGCAAGCCAGAAGGCTTCCATCCAAGCCCAGCCACTGACTCAAAGTCCATAACCACCTACAGGCCTTTGCCAAATACAGCTGTAAGCAGAAAGTTATATCCATGAGACAGATGAGACACAGTGTCCTCTTGTTTATTGCTGTCCATAATATTGACCTGAACAGACCACACTGGTTAGTTGAAGTAGTTGAAGTTGGTTGAGATATCCTTGAACAAGGGGCCCTCCCATCATACCCACAGCTACAGAGACACTCTTGGCTGTTGGCACCCTCTCTTCACCCACAGAAGTCAGCTCCAAGGATGCTGAGACTATTCCAGCCTTTTAGTGTGTGAGCCTTGCCCTCTGTGTGGAGTGAATCTCTCCTGGAAAAAAAAAAAAAAAAAAAGGGTGATGAGATGATGATCGTGAAATTCCACCTATTTTGTATTCTATAGTTTCTCGTTTCAACTGAATGTTTATATCCATATGGGGTTAGTTGGATACTCACCATTTGCATTCTCTTTTCCAGATGGATGAGGCTGTGCTGGAATCTCTCATGTGCTAATCAACCCACCTGCAATAATACATAAACACACACTATTTCAAGATCTCGATCTATCATGGTGCTTTCCTTCAGACTCTTACTTTCTTGATAGTTGTTTCCTTTTTCTTCAGTGTCTTAATCTCTCCAAGTCTTTCCCAACAGTTGTTAGACACCATAGTTAATGCATCCACAAGATGACTGTGCCTTTTCCTCTCAAGACAGATTGAGAAATGGAAATTAAGTGACTATTGCTTTTTGCATCATATTTTTGATAAGGAGATGGAGTGAACTCTAAAATATAGCGGCATGAAAGTCATTTGTCTTTTCAAAAATGCATCAAAATGTCTCCACATCTGTTTACATTCTCCAGTTCTACATCTCATCTCCATAGGGACTGAACAACTCTGTTTGGTCTCACATTGAAGTCTGGATATTTGTTCTGACTCCTTGTGAAGGCTGTACAACCCAAAGCACAGTCCTTTTGGATGCCTCCCCATTCCAGTAAGATCACATTTCACTTTTTTTTTTTTGCATTTATTAAGTGCTCTCTATAGTGTGAAGAAGGTTCGGTTGACAGCCCTGGAAATGGAGGTTCTCTGCTTAGACGTAGTAGATGCAATATATGTATCACCACTCCACCCACTGGAAATAAGACTTCATCTTGAAGCCTCAGCAAAAAGAAGCAAACTAAGTTCACTCTCCATGACCAAAAGTTAGCTCTTTTGCTGTTGCAATACATAAAAGTGGCAGTTTTGAAGAAAAGGCAAATCTGGGCAAGTGTTGTTTACCCTCTTTGCATTAGATCACAGAATCACAGAATTATTTCAGTTAGAAAAGATATTTAGATAGCCACTAACTTCTGTGCAGTGTGTGTGATCCTTCTACCCCTTTGAGACAGGTCTTGCCTGCAGCCCTTGGGTGCTGCCAGCAGGCCTGATGTCATGTAAACTGACCCATTATCAAAAAAACCCAAAATTCTGCTGGTGATACCAGGCTCAGAGCCAGATATTGATCTGCTGGGCTCTTCCAGTTTCTTACCTCATCATTCCCTCCAACTGGAAGGATAAAGAACACAAGTTGCACTCCTGAATGCTTAAACTGTCATCCCAACATCCTGAAGTATCTCTTAATATCATTTATTCTACCTCTTCCATGAACAATCAGCCAAAAACTCATATTTCACACACTTTCCTTGGTTCCAGACAGAAACCCTGCCAGCAATGAATCAGATTTGCTTCCAAACTAATCACCTGCATCAACCTCAGCCCATGAAGTACTTTGAAGATCTGGAAGGCCAATATGGCTCCACGTTTCTCCTGGCTGCCTTATGCATACTGTTCAGTTCTTGTGATTCTCCAGCTCGGCTGGAATTCACAGCCAAGCCAAGACTGCCAGGATGCACTGAGCACATGGCAGGGCAAAAAGTGAGCCTGGCAGCAATCATGGCCTTAAATAATAAATTTTTTTTTAAAAAATAAAATAAATTAGGAAAATAAATTATACTGCTATACTGCTATATAAAGCTTTTTGACATTTTCAGCCATCTCCTTTCATATTTTGCTCCCACATACATTTAAGGAGTCTACTATGAATATACAAATTTGTGATGTTATCCTCCTTGAAATCTATCTTTAAAGCTTCCCTTCTTTATAACATGGAAAGCAGTCTCAGCACTTGTTAGACCTCTGAAATCCTGAGACACCCGATAGTTACATTTCACAGTTCTCACTGCTCAGTATCTCTATTCATTTTTTCTGTCCCTTCTCTTTACAAGGGTTATTGTTTTGCTTATGAAGTTTGTTGAATAATCTAATGTTGACTTATAAAAGAACTTCATGAACACCAATTAGTATAAATAAACCCATCCATTTTAAACATGATGTACTTATTCTCTGTTTCACTTTCAAAGACAGAAGATCCATTTTTTGGAAAAGCTAAGGCTGGGAAATGTCTTTTAAGGAATAAGATAGGCATATCAGGCTGGGAAACAGCTACAAGTGATTCCCTCTTTCCTGGAAATGGCCTCTAAAAGGCACTAGTGTTAGCACTGATGCTAAGTTCAATAAAAGGAGGCCTTTGATTGCCCACTTATTTCTCTCTTTTTTTTTTAGAATTGTGTCTCACACATAAACCATAGAAGAAAATAAAAAGCTGAAAGAAGACTCTGAGCTGTCCTCCTCCTGCTGTATAATTTCTGAAATCCATTGGATCTACTTCTCTCTCCCTCCCAGAATCGTTTCAGTAATCAGAAAAGAGTGAGGATGGTTGTGTGGTATTTACAGCTGTCAGTGATTTCATGAGCTGTTGTAAACATCCCTGACACTTAAAGCATGTTGAGAATACATACATACATACATACATACATACATATATATATATATAAAATACATGTAGAAAGTGTGTTGAGAATATACTGACCGTATACTGTCACGTTCAGTGCCATTTTAGTAGAAATGAAATTGTATTTAAGACCCCATGGCTGAGTGTGAGAGATTGGTTTCCATCATAAAAACTGAAATGCTTTATTGATAACATGTTTTATGAGCCTAGCTGTTAGCCTTGGGGGTGTCTTCACTCTGTAACCTTCCAGCTCTTTCCCTCTGGAATGAATCGAAGGCGGCTGGAGCACTAATTTATTACAAAGACAGGTGCTGGAGCAAGAGGAAAAAAGACAAGACGGCAAGAAAGCAAGGAAAAAAGGAAGAAAAAAAGCACAAGCAAGATGGAGACACTGACAAACTTAACTATAAGACAGAATTTGCCTGGGCTGTAATTTGTTTGCATGCCAGATGTCCATACAGTTCAGGCTGACAGCATTGCAGAGGGTGGGAAGTCCAACACTGCCCAAAGCCAAAAGGAAGAAAATTTTAAAACATAAAAACAAAAATTACTTTGCTGATTATTTCCTTCACCAGTGAAAACTGCATCCCTCCAGCTCATAGCTGACCATCCCATGCACTAACACTTTCCCCTGCAAACATGTGATTGGAGTCCTCCTCTTTAGCCAAAGGACTAAAAAAAATGGATTTTAATGTAGTAGGGTGAGGGAATTGTAAAATACACCTCTCTAATTAGTTTATGAATTTGAGAGTGAAGGACTTGGGTGAAGAAATGTCATGATGTCACTTCTGTGATATTTGAACAGGCTTATTTATATTCCTCACCTTAGACCTTTTCCTCTTGCACCCATCTTCCTTTCTTCACCTCTCACTCCCCCCCACCACCACCGTTTCTTTCTTGCTTTTTGCCAAGTCCATCACATACCCAGGGTCAAACAGACAGTTCTGCAGATGGGTTGATGATACTGCAAAACACTCAGGATGAGATGTTTCTGTCTGGCCTACAGATGGGAGACTCATAAACACTTGATACACCCAGTCCCCCATTACTGGTTTAACAGCTTTTCTACTGGAAAGCCAAGAGCTTCCCCAGGCAATGCAGGGAGTTGCCATATGTTCAGAATACTAATAATTCCTCTAAAAGCTCATGTGTTTTCAGGCTAACAGAAGAACTGAAATTCTTTTCTTCTTAGTATGTTTGCAGTCGTTGCAAAAGGATCCATCTGGATGGGCTCTTGTGTGGGTATTGGCAGGCCCTGTCAGTTGGATGTGTGTGAGTGTGAATGATACTTTTTGTCTTAAGTCACAGAGACGGATTGCATTTAAAATATTCTTCATCAGAATCTTCTGTCCCCGATGATACCATGCCACAGCTCACCAGAGACACCACTGCTTCATCTGCCTGATTCTAAACAGTGTTTCTGAGAGGTGCACAAATCCCTGCAAACAGCAAGTGAGAAAAAGAGGCTGTTCCATACCTCCAGAGTGCTACTCCATCGTGCACAGAGCAGTGGACCTCTTTGGAACCAGAATGCCCAGAATTATGGAGTAAGACATAATTAGGAGCCTTGTTTTTTACTGTGAGATTCCAAATTTGATCTTAAGACATTCACATCTGTTGGAAAGTCACAGGAGATTCTTCCTGTATGAGGCCTAAGAGTGTTTGAGTATCCTACTGGAAGAATCAGTCTTCTTGAATTCCTTTGGCTAACCTGAAATGGAGATGGTCAAACAGTGATCAGGTGTCATGAGGAGCAGTGAACATGATAAAATACTCCTTTACCTACCCTACTTTTTCATGAAGTGCTAGGGAGAGAACACCCTGCTTCTGTCTGATGGCACCCCAAGGACTGAGGGCTTAAGTGAAGACCACATCAGTCTGAGACAGTGAAGGATTCCAGTCTGCATTTAGTAGGAAAAAGCTCATTAGCCTTGGTTGTCTGGCTGAGTTACTGAGAAGAGAAATTGCATCCTTCTTCCTGAATCCCTTTTGTGGTTTGAGATTGACAGAGCATCCTTCTTTCCACACCAGAAATAATTAAGTAGTGTTGTTCTGTACCACCTTCTGTCCTAGCTATAGTCATATTTTTTTTGTATATTATATATATAAATCCCTAAGGAAACTGTAAAAAGTTCAGCAGACCTCGGTGAAAGCAAACTGGCTTCTCAATGAGACAGAAATGAGGTGTGCTGAGAAAAGAACACCTCTAAAGGGAAATTCAGAGAGTTGTTCCCTGAGTCTTGTGCCAAATTCCTTTGTAGCCTCAAGGTCTTGGTGTCCAACAGAGACTACATCACTCTTAGGAAGAGGCTAGAAAACATGACTGAAAGTGCTAAAATGTCATTGTATACACAGCCTCTCTCCCTGACCTCAAACATAGTTTGAATCACCAGCTCTCAAAAGATATGTAACACAAACAAGAAAGATGTAGAGCAGAAACACGTAAGGATTTCCTCAAAGAAATACTTAGAAAGAAAGCCTCTGATTTAGATCACTGACAAATAAAATACAAGAAAGGAATATAAAACTATGACTGAAATGTCCTAATGCCCTCATCACACTCCTAGATGAGGGATTTTCACCTCTTTCTGAAGGACATGTCTAGCTTGAAATATGCAAGCTGTTCTTGTCACATCTTCATGTGAACACTTTGGATTACTCATAAGGTTTAAATTTTGGCACCCTGCCTCAGTATGTTCCTGAGTCAATTCCCCAGTATGAAGA